TCAAATTCCCTTTACTTTCATCTACCAATGTTGCTCCACCGTACATTGCTATGGCTACCCCTATACTTATGAAGACAGATCCAATTGCGGAAGTCACTTTTGGTATACGTTTTTTGACAAGCCAAGTTACTGTCATGCTTGCTGGTGATGATGCAGATCTGAAAATCACATATTTGATTTGTTGACAATTTTTTATTTTTAATAGGCATTTTTTTATTACTTTGTATGATTTTTAAGATGTTTTTATAGTATCAAAAATATTTTAAGTTGTTTTTACTGGATCTTAATTGTTTGAAAAACTATGATATATTACTAAATAATCCAAAAAATTGCGCATTTAGTTGGACTGCAGAAAACATAGTTAAATACAACTGCTTTGATTAAAACTACTTTTACGGATTTTATCGCGTTTATTTTTTACTTTTTATTTTTAATTCCCGACGTTTCCGGGAAGTCTGCAGTTTGTGATCATATCCTAGACTGCCCCAACCATTACATCAGATTTGATAGACCACAAATCCTCGCGAAAGAACACCGATTCCTACCAAGGATGATACGTGAGGCTATTGAAATTAAAAAACATCCTAATTTCAATAGAGAAGGAGGCTGGGTACTACCACCTGCTTGGGATCCTATAATCAATAAAATTAAAACTAAACCCAAGCATACCACTGCAAGACCTCAGGACATAGTCAGTTCATTTTGCATAGATCGGACCATAAACAATAATTAAAAAAGCTGAAGGTACTCCGGGTTTAACAATGACATCGGGACGTCAGTCATCTCAGTCCCCCGTGACCATGGGTGCTGGAAAGCGCCCGAAACGTCGGGAATTAAAAATAAAAAGTAAAAAATAAACGCGATAAAATCCGTAAAAGTAGTTTTAATCATGTGCAATGTTCGCGTAAATATAAGAAATCATTATACAACTGCTTTGTTTAAATAAAAGTTTTGTAATAACACAATATGGTCAAGCATATTTATGGAAGGTTAGTAAGCATTAAAAATAGCATTAGTATAAAACAGTAAAATATTTTTGTGAATTAAGAAATTTTAGGTTCTTTATTAGTAGATAAATATGAATGAAATATTTTACCTTATTATCATATGCAACGTAGAAGGCACATGCAAGGCATATACATAATTATTGGCCACACTCGTTACAAAAAATAATGCAATTAGTATAAAATATTTCTTAAATGGAATTTTGGGTTTAAACTGAAATATGTATCAATAATTTAGAACACATTATTTAATGAAACAATGTAAGTAATTTTATGTGAAAATTATTATTAAGCTTAATTATTTTTCAAGAGATATTAATCTATATTACCTTGGAAAATAACCCTAGATATTTGCACATCTAGGGTTATTTTCTAAGAGCCTGGTCCCCGAAAGGGATGGGTGATAAAACAAATGAAATATGACAATGAAACGAAGAACTGGGGTTGACGTGTCCCATCTCATCACCCCTCTTTATATTCCAACATACATGTCTCACTTTATATATTTTAAATATATTATTTGGCAAGCAAAGACTATAACTATTTAATTTGTAGGTCTGAACATAATATAAATACAAATCATATTAGATGTTTTTTTTTATTATTATGAAAGTGAATTTATGAAGTTTCTTACTTAATTTTTAACAGAAATGAGCTAACATTTGATGTTGATTTGGATCACCGTCCATTTATCCCTTATTAAAAAACAAAATATAGATGAATTGTCACATTTAAGGACTTGGATGGAATTGCTTAGTTTGTTACCAATAAGTCTTTTTGATTCCTCACACTCACTCACTTTTTCATTACAATCTCTCATTTCGTTGTCATAAGAGGCAACAGATGGGAAATAAACAGAAGATGGATGATCTCCCTGATAATGTGGTAAAGCCTCGCTGCAGCTATATTATGGCTGTAGCACGAATGGTTCAACTCAACCGGGGTAGGACCAAGCTCTCACAGAATACCAGCTTACATTATAGCTTCATGCTATTGTGTTTCGTGAGTATAGAGAACCGGAGACCCTTTTTACTGGAAATAAGGCATTCCATCTTAGTTCTCAGGGATGACAGTGCATCTGCATTTTGATTCTTAATCGACAATGATGTAGATGTTTATGGGCCACAGCATCCAGTTACCATCAGTTAGACTGCTAACTACGGATAATTCACCCCTGTACGGCAATCTATGTGTAGGGGGGGCTTAGTTTAACAGTGGACTTTTGAATGAAATATGAAAGTTGGAACTTACCATATCACATTTTCTAAAAATAAAACCTTGTAAAGAAATGAAGAAAAATTGTAGTGTGTCACGAACCTCAAGCTCGTAACATTATCATTGACAGATGTTGTTGCATTGTTCCTACAAAGTATCGGCGCCGGATCAAGTGAAGCAGTTACTTCATTTAGACGACTCCGTGGCGCAGTGGCTTAGCAATGAGCGGCTGCGCTGGGGGTCGCGGGTTCGAATCCCGTACGGAACAAATATTTGTATCGCCTACAAATAGTTGTTCCGGGTCTAGATGTTTGTCCTTGTGCAATTTATGTTTGTAAACTGCCCCTACTATACCCTTTAACGCGGCGTCTTGTATCGTAGGGGCAGTTTACAAACATAAATTGCACAAGGACAATCATCTCCCCGTTTCATCGTGCCAAGAACGCTGGCTGCGGGTTTATCGCTGAATAGCTGTTCTGAGCCTTTGAGCACGAAAAGAACCAGTCTTCTATTAGCTATCACCAGCAGCAGTGGCCAATATCACAGAGTCGCGGTTAGGTACCACTCCTTTAGGAACTGCACGTGGACCCACGATGTCTACAGCAAATGGCACAAATATGTAATCATCTCTTTAAATCTCAGAGATTCATATTGGCGCCACTTATTTAGTTTTGCATACGTGGTGGAGCCCCGCTGCAGATATATTACGGTTTTAGCACGAATGGGTCGGCTCGACCGGGGAAGGAACAAACTCTCACAGAACCCCAGCGTAAAATATCCGCTTACTACTGCTGTTTCGTATGGTAAGTTTAGATAAAAATCCGGAGACCCTTATTTACTGAAAACAAGGCATTCCATCTTAGTCCTCAGGGGTGACAACACATCTGCGTTTTGATTCTTAATCGAGGATAAATGTAGATGTATATGGGCCACAGGATCCACTTACCATCAGGTGGACTGTGTGCTCGTTTGTCACCCTTATTTTATTTTAAAAAAACGTTCAGTTGCCTCTGATGCCACACCGGTTCTAAGCAAGATGACTTGCTACCAAAGTATCTACGCAAGTACGTAAGTACGCAAGTAGCATTCCACACAGACTAGGCTGTAGGTCCGAAACATTTGCCTGCCTTAATTGGCTAAATCGTAATAACTAACAACAAACACGTTGACTTTAAAGATTAACATCGATGTTCGATGTTTATGGCTATTATTGATGTTATTGATGTTGTTGTTAAAATTAAATGAATTAAAAATTAGTAATATTGTTTATGGTTTATTATTAATTAAATAAAAGAAATTAATAAAAATTTTAATGTCAAACAGTAACAAAAAAAATTGTCAGAAGTGTACAAATACCTAGTTCATTTATGTTTTTTGCCGATGATAATGAATGTTATTATTTTGATCTTTTAAAGTTCCTATACACTCATAAATCCGGTATGATAAATTAACTATGGGACCTAATTTACGATTAAGACGTAGTTTTTTAATCAACTACACTCTGATTTTAGAGAAAAATTAACAAACAACACAAAAACTAAATAATAGACTTTTCCGTCACCTTTGTTAACATTCTTTAATCACACAGTCTAAGCAGTAAGTTTCCACAGCCGTTTATAAAATGCACAGTCGAATGCACTTTGCAGTGAAATTGTCTGTGCTCACGATTGCTCAGTGATTTATTTCGATAACCTTCAAGCAAACAATAAACACGTTATGACAAGCTCAAAAAAGCAGCTAAATATAATTGCATTGTGTGGATACCTATACATATTGTTTCAAAATTATGTGGCTATAGACAGCAAGAGAAAATAATTAATTTGTAAATCAATTTACGTAGAATAGTTATTATGGTTCATAAAAGATAGCTTGATCTCTGCGACAGCAGTCAGTAAAATCACGCCTATGAAGTCCTGAATTTCTTAGTAGTACAGACACAGTACCTGTCAATGTCATACTTTATGGGCATGCACTAATTAAGTCGGCATGCCCATAAAGTATGACATTGACAGGTACTGTCTATACTACTAAGAAATTCAGGACTTCATAGGCGTGATTTTACTGACAGCTGTCGCAGAGATCAAGCTATCTTTTATGAACTATAGCCGACAACCGACAACGGCACCACAGAAACACAAAGCGAAAGCAGTGACAACTGTGACATTACAGTTCACACTTGACAGTTAAAGTTGACACACCATAAAGATATTTTTCTAAATTTTAAACTTTTAATAGGAGATGCAAGATTTAGTTGATATTGATTTCGCGGGTTCTCATTGTTCACAAGTTATATTTGTAGAATACGGGTTCATTGAAATCGATGTTTCGATGTTTGATAAGTTAAAACATCGATGTTTTAATTTTTAATATCGACGATCATCGAACACCGAACCGAACATGAATATCGAACATCCCTAGTTGACTTTGACGTTATAATTTTTTGTTTTTATGTTTTTATATTTTTTTTATTTATTATTTATTTAAGTATATGTATGTAAATAGTTGAAATTTAAATCAATAAAATATCTTATTTATAAATTGATTTCATTTCTGAATCTGTTTAAATTGTTTTACTATTATATTTCCTTTCATCGGATTTTTTTTTTAATTTTCCATAAGATGAGTTTAAAAACTAATATTTTAAATGTTTTTCTCAGTTGTTGCCTTAGCTCTTTTCTAATGGAAATATTAATGGCAAGAGTGCCAGAAAGTGCTAACTTTATTACATTTCTACAATTTTTCTTCATTTCTTTACAAGGTTTTATTTTAAAAAAAAGTGATATGGTAAGTTCCAACTTTCATATTTCATTCAAAAGTCCACTGTTAAACTAAGCCCCCCCTACCAATAGATTGCCGTACAGGGGTGAATTATCCGTAGTTAGCAATCTAACTGATGGTATCTGGATGCTGTGGCCCATAAACATCTACATCATTGTCGATTAAGAATCAAAATGCAGATGCACTGTCATCCCTGAGAACTAAGATGGAATGCCTTATTTCCAGTAAAAAGGGTCTCCGGTTCTCTATACTCACGAAACACAATAGCATGAAGCTATAATGTAAGCTGGTATTCTGTGAGAGCTTGGTCCTACCCCGGTTGAGTTGAACCATTCGTGCTACAGCCATAATATAGCTGCAGCGAGGCTTTACCACATTATCAGGGAGATCATCCATCTTCTGTTTATTTCCCATCTGTTGCCTCTTATGACAACGAAATGAGAGATTGTAATGAAAAAGTGAGTGAGTGTGAGGAATCAAAAAGACTTATTGGTAACAAACTAAGCAATTCCATCCAAGTCCTTAAATGTGACAATTCATCTATATTTTGTTTTTTAATAAGGGATAAATGGACGGTGATCCAAATCAACATCAAATGTTACCTCATTTCTGTTAAAAATTAAGTAAGAAAATTCATAAATTCACTTTCATAATAATAAAAAAAACATCTAATATGATTTGTATTTATATTATGTTCAGACCTACAAATTAAATAGTTATAGTCTTTGCTTGCCAAATAATATATTTAAGATATATAAAGTGAGACATGTATGTTGGAATATAAAGAGGGGTGATGAGATGGGACACTTCAACCCCAGGTCTTCGTTTCATTGTCATATTTCATTTGTTTTATCACCCATCCCTTTCGGGGACCAGGCTCTTAGAAAATAACCCTAGATGTGCAAATATCTAGGGTTATTTTCCAAGGTAATATAGATTAATATCTCTTGAATAATAATTAAGCTTAATAATAATTTTCATATATAATTTCTTACATTGTTTCATAAATTACGTGCTAAATTATTGATACATATTTCAGTTTAAACCCAAAATTCCATTTAAGAAATATTTTATATTAATTGCATTATTTTTTGTAACGAGTGTGGCCAATAATTATGTATATGCCTTGCATGTGCCTTCTACGTTGCATATGATAATAAGGTAAAATATTTCATTCATATTTATCTACTAATAAAGAACCTAAAATTTCTTAATTCACAAAAATATTTTACTGTTTTATACTAATACTATTTTTAATGCTTACTAACCTTCCATAAATATGCTTGACCATATTGTTATTACAAAACTTTTATTTAAACAAAGCAGTTGTATTTAACTATGTTTTCTGCAGTCTGCGCAATTTTTTGGATTATTTAGTAATATATCATAGTTTTTCAAACAATTAACATCCAGTAAAAACAATTTAAAATATTTTTGATACTATAAAAACTTCTTAAAAATCATACAAAGTAATAAAAAAATGCCTATTAAAAAAAATAAAAAATTGTCAACAAATCAAATATATAATTTTCAGATCTGCATCATCACCAGCAAGCATGATAGTAACTTGGCTTGTCAAAAAACGTATACCAAAAGTGACTTCCGCAATTGGATCTGTCTTCATAAGTATAGGGATAGCCATAGCAATGTACGGTGGAGCAACATTGGTAGATGAAAGTAAAGGGAATTTTATGCACTGGTGTTTAGGCGTCACAATATTGCTCTCTACATTATTTACAGGTGCTTTTACAGGGCTCCAACAGGAAATTCTATATGCTAAATATGGAAAGCATCCTGATGAGGTATGATACTTATATAATGTATTATATAACATCCAAAAAATATGTTACATTATATTATACTATGGATGTCAAAACTGGTATCAATTTAATTTCAGATGCTGTTCTATACACATGTCATACCACTGCCCTTGTTTTTCGTAGTCTACCCTCAATTGAAGGAAATTGGATCTTCCATGTCAAGTGATATGTGGTTAATCATTGCATTAAATATTATATCTCAGTTTTACTGTACTCAATCTGTCCATGACTTAGCTTCTAAGGAAAACTCTGTAACAGTAACATTTGTATTAACTCTCAGAAAATTTGTTTCTTTATTAATATCTAGCATAGTTTTTAAGAATAATCTCACATTATTACACCTGATAGGAACAATTTTTGTTGCAATAGGTACATATATTTACTTTGGCTTTTTTAATAGTAGAAAACAAAGGTCAATCAATTTTAAAGAAAAGTGATGTAATGCACTCTTAGGCTGTTAAATTTATGTTTCCTAGTAAATATCTATTTATACACTTAAAAATTACTTTGACAATCTAACTTAAAACAATATTGAATTAAGACTTCGACGTGGTGGAGAAATTTAGTACGGTATTAAAATAAAAAAATGTCACGTTTTCTTTTAACGTTTCACTGCCGTGGATGAATGAGTAAACTATTATTAAACCTACTTTTGTAAAATATAAAATAAAATAAGAATTATATGTCGTAAAGGAGTTTCACTTTTTACGTGTGTATACAATTACACACACAATTTTTTTTTGTATAAAAATTATTGTTAAAATGTATTACAACTAACCAAATATAGTAAATTTTCTCTTAAGTAAAACAAAATGACAATTTTTCCTACAAATGTTAACTAAAGTCTTGTGGGGTAAGAGGAACATACTTTATTTCTTACATATTATTTTAAGCTCTGGCTGCTTTAAATATTGTCGTTTTATAGTATTGATATCACAGATTACCCCCTAATCAGGGGGGTAGTCTGTAATAATTAGGGGGTAATCTGTGATATATTATATATATATATATATATATATATATATATATATATATATATATATATATATATATATATATATATAAAAGTATAATTATGTCTGTTATCTTTCCATGGTCGAACATAAAAATATGCTAATTGTAATATTTATTAACGAAAAATATTAATTTGTTAAGCTAGTGCTTTTGTTTCACTTTCCCTGTTTTTGGGGCAAGGGAAACGGTCTGCATTATATTAATAAATACGAGGTGTGATCAAAAAGTAAGTTGACTTTTTATTTTTATCAAAAAATACTTATTTATTTATCAATACTTATTTTGTCCCCTCCTAAAACCCCTTCAGATACAACACACTTGTGCCAACGCTTTCTCCAATCCTCAAAGCACTACTGATAAGCACTTTTTGGTATTGCCTTGAGCTCATCCAGCGATGCTGTCTTTACGTCCTAAATCGTTGCAAAACGCAGTCCTTTCATGGATTTCTTGAGTTTCGGGAATAGAAAAGTCACATGCGGCTAAATCCAGTGAATACGGTGGCTGTAGCATAATTACAGTATTCTTGGCCAAAAAATTTCGAACAAGCAATGACGTGTAACATGACCCACAACAATAACATTAGTAATAATATAACTAATAATAATAAACTTAAAACTAATTCTACAGAGCCCAAGTCAATGTTTCTAAGAGAAATGTCAGAAAAAGAAGTCAGAAATGCAGTCATATTTCTTAACTCTAAAACAACTGGCTATGACGGAATATGTACCAATATTATTAAAATTTCCATCGATAGTTTTATAATTTTTTTTTATATATAGTTTAATTTTTTATAATAGTTGTTGGCCGCCGGAGCGAGTCTCGACATTACAACGGTTCTGCCGCGTTTAAATTCAGCGCACCAGTATGCCACTTTCGAATAAGACGGAACAATGTCTGCAAAAGTGGACTAGTTCTTCAAAAACAATTTTTGTAAAAAAAAATTCAGGCAGAATTGTTAACGAAATTAGTTTTTCCATTTTGCACGAATCAAATTTCCGCCAAATTGTAGTTAGAAAAAAATTGGGTAAGGTCAGTTAGGGTAAGAGGAACATACTTTATTTTGAGCCCGAAGTTTTGAGCTCTAGGAAGAGCATATAACGTTTTATGACAATTTTGAGATACATTAAACTTTCCTTAGTTTATCAACTTTTCATGTTTTAAGAATCATAACGCTAATTTGAAAACCTACGACAGTATCGGCCAAAAACATTTAACTTGTACTAACGTTCCTCTTCCCCCTCATGTGGGGTAAGAGGAACATTCACCGTATCTCCTAAGATTATGATGTTTATTTAAATGTACCTGCTGCTACATTTTAAGTAATACTTATTTTATAGAATTTGATCGTAACGTAATTGCAACAAGGTACAGTTTTGAAGAAAATGAAAATATTAAATTTAGGGTCAGAGAAACATATATTTGTAAACATAAGTTCCAGTCAGGGGTAACAAACTAAAAAAATAATCGTTTGTATTTCAAATTATAATTTTATTCCTACTCCTAATTCAATAAACTTTAATAAATTAGCAATTATACATTGTAAAGAGATCAATATTTCGAATGAGCATATTTCTTATTAAAACAAGTTGCAAAAATAGAAAAAAAATATTACAAAAACTACTGTACGCTGTTTTTTATAAATATTTAAGAAAAATATACTAAATCTTCTTCATGTGAAAGAAGAAACTCGTTGGAGTTTTTAGGATCTTGAAGCAGGTGAACTTTCTTAACTATAGACAATTCCGGAACAGTATCACGATCTACTTTTTTAGTAAGTTTAAATTTCAATGGATTTTTGTAAGTTTTGTAGAACCTTATTTCATAAGTTACGACACTGCAACTAGGATGTGGAGATATTATATTAGTTATATAGCCAATATAATATGTCCATTTATTTCTAGTGTAGTACCTGACCATCACATTGTTGTTAATTGCATAATTCATTTCCTTACGTCCTTCCTTCTCTATTTTCTCATCCCAGTTGCTATCAACTGCTTCTGCCGCCATTTTCCTTTCTTCTGATCCGGTAACTATTTCTGTCGCCTTTTTTCTTCCATTTGTTATATTACTAATAACTGACTCTGCCTGTATTGTCCTTATTCCTGATCCAATAACAGTCTCTGTTACTTTGTTTTTTTCATCAGTAATGTTATTATTTTCAAGGTCTGGAATAAAGTTTATGTAACCTAAATTTCTAATAATGTCAAAGTCTTCCTCAGGTAAATCTGAGTCCTCATCAATTAAGTCTACAATATCAGAATCATCATGCAAGCTGACGCAATCGGATACGCTGGTAGATGAAGATCTTTTTCTGTATTTTTTCTTTGCACGAAATTTCACATTCTTCATATTTTCCTTCAAACTTACTTGACTTTTTTTTCCAGTGTTTTTACCAATTTTACAATTTGTAACTGACATTTTATTATTTTTGTTTATTGCCGTTTCAAATTTGTCTTTGTTTTTTATCTTCCTATTAAGACCTGATGGTCCCGGTATACTGTTGTATTTATTCTCACTATCCCCTTCTTTTGCTTGTATCTGTTTTTCTCGCTGTACTTTTTTTTCTTGTTGTTTTTGTAACTTTTGTTGTTTTTCTCCTTCCATTACTTTACATCTTTCATACGCTTCGTCGTGGGTGATAACTTCCGCGCCAGCCGCTACTTTCTTCCTTTTTGCAATAAATGATAATATTCCCGGTTTAACAGACCTTAGGAGCAACTGTTCAAATGTAATATTGGTAATTACCGGTTGGTTATCAAGAATCTGAACCTTTGAACATTGTTGAACATTGGTGATGTTTGCCAATGGTGCGTCTTTTCCTTGACTCCGTTTATTCAAAACATCATTTATTGAAATGGGACAGACATTTTCTAAAGAGATTGTATGCATTGAAATATGTTGAGGAGCTACTTGTGCCTCAAATAATATTTTATTAACAGAAGCTAGTGCTATTTTTCTAAGTTTATCAGGTTGATCTACTGAGGTTTTTGGTCTTTCGCTCATCTCTTCGTTCGTCTTCTTCGTCAGTTTTGCAGATCTTTTCCATTCAGCTAATAGAATTGGATCAAATTTATTTTCAGGGATGGCATTTTTATTTAACGGATATATTCCAGCTTTACGGAAACCTGCCGCACATACAAGGGGATTGATATGACCCCATACTTGTCCTATAATTCTTGAGAAATCTTTATTTGGCAAAACTTTGCCAACGTTTAATCTTTGCCACTTTACTAATTCGACGTCCCATTTATCCTTAAACGATTTGTTCACGGCAATATCCAATGGCTGCAAATTGTCGCTTGTATGAGGTGGGATTTTCATAATTGTTATCTTTTCCTCTCGTGCTTTTTGTATGATGTTAATACCCAAGTGTGTAGAGTGACCGTCATAAAGTAAGAGGATAGGGCGTTTCTCTCCAACAGTTGGCAAAAAAATCTTTTGAATAAAATTTTCAAATACTGACGACTCCATCCAGCCATTTGAAGTCGCAGCATATCGAGTTCCGGGGTACCCATCTTCTGACGTCCATGTGTCCCAAACGCTTTTCCCTTTAAACACGATTAGCGGCGGCGCTTTTTCACCTGCAGCATTGCACGCTAAAAGTACTGTAGTATTAGTCTTTCCTGGAGATGAGATGGTTCTGGTTGACGTGTAGCCTCGGAGTCCTACTACTTTTGATTTGCTCGGGTCTTTACTAAAACTAGTTTCATCAGCATTCCAGATATGTGACGGTTTATCACGTAAACCTAAATCATCAATTGTTTTCGCCAGTAAATCAAAATAAGGATAAATTACAGCAGGGTTGCATGCTTTTTTACGTGCATATTCTACCGGCTGTGGTTTTTTGACGGAAAGATTATGTCTTTTTTTGAAAGCAAGGAACCAATCCTCTCCTGGAGTACCGTTCTTGAACGGGGTTTCGATATTGTTTTCGACCACATATTGACCAACGACTTCAAGCACTTCCTTGCGAGTCAAACCAAAACCATACTTCTCCATTATATGGAGATTTTCTGCAAGTGTTTTCTCTACATCCATAGATAATGCTGTAGGTCTACCTAAACTGTTTGATTTAAGACCTTTTCGCTTATAGACGCGGTTCACTATTGTTGGTCTCGGTATGCCGTACAATTTTGAGGCGGCATATGCAGATAATGTGCCATTTTTTACTGCCTCAACAGCATCTTTCAATTGTTCTTGAGTATATGCAGCACCTCTATTAGATTTTCTTATATAGAGTTTCGGCATTTTTCAGTTTTTCTAAAAAAAATAGCCAATAATAAGTACTAGATAATATACAATATTTAGTTGGTTAGATAGTTATAGGTGGAGACTCAAATCCGTGCCACTTCACACATTTAAGAAATAAAGAGCCGTGTCAGCTCAGAGACTAAGCGCACGCTGTAAATTTCACAGTACGCGGGAAACCTGGGTTCGATCCCCGCCACTAATTACTCGGCACAAATGAAATTATTAATTGCATTATTAAGTGCTGATTTACCACGTGATCGGCGGTGAAGCAAAAAATTGTGAAGAAACCTGCATGTCTGATAAATAAGAATAAAATATTTCAAAGTCATGTGAAGTTTGCCAACACGTATTGGAGCAGCATTGTGGACATTTCCTTGCCCTAAAACCCTTTAAGAAATGAGAGAAGGCCTGTGCCCAGGAATGGGACGTATTTTTAGAGGCTGTAACTATTTTATAATAATAATAATAATAAAAATAAAAATGTTTTATTTTTCAGGCAAAGTAGGTCCATAACATGTTAGTAACAGAAAATAAAACTTAAGAATTAATGTTAGTAAATAACACAAGACAGAAATATAAAAACTTTATGAAATAATCGTACTAAAATATCCGCAATTACCTACTCGTACATTTAAAATTGTCGTATTTTATCAAATCGACTCCCAAAAAATTTATTTCCTATAATTACATTTTGTCTTTGTTATTCAAAACTATTAAAAAATCATAATGTTTATCACCCCTGATATCGGCGAAGAGGAACATACTGTTTCTCTTACCCTGTAAGTACCGTTTCTCTTACCCCAACAATGTTTTTGGAGGTTAAGATTTTAAATTCGATGAAACTTATATTAATTGTAGGTTTTAATCTAAAATATCAAACAAAAAGTAAAGCTTACCCTTTTGTGTTAGAATTTTTTCATGGAAATAATCTCTAACAGTAAAATTTTCACAATTTTTGAGCGAATAAAAGTTATGTAGCCAACTCGTGTTCTTAGACTTTATAACTGTCAAATTGTTATTCTTTTTTTTTCGACTTTGGAACATCGTAGCGACATCTTTTAGCAACCGTTTGTTTTTTTTTACTTTACTTATTTATCTACTAATATACCATAGAGCTAAACTCTATAGGTTATGAGTTATGGAGTTGTGTTCCTCTTTCACCGGTGTTCCTCTTACCCTAACTGACCTTATAGTCTTTAATTTAGTATTTTCTGGCCTTGACTAAAAATAGAACGCATTTCTTTAACTTATTAATAAGTGTCCTATTCTGAAAACTTGATCAACCTGGTATTGTAGTCAGTCTTTGGTTTAATAATTCTGTGAAAAAACTGCTTAAACCAGACTACAATATTTTATGGATTAAAGACTAAAGATTACCTAGTTCGTAGTTAGTACTTTGCTACTAATAACATATCCAGGCGAATAACTGACTGGCACGTCAGTAGTGAAAACTCAATGTCAGATTATAAACACATAGTTTGTGACTGACGCATCACCAACTTATGAAACTGTTGCATTTAGGGATCCAAAGATGTCTAAGGAGGAATTCGGAAACTTTACTTTACTTATCTTCACGCACAATCCCTAACGTGGTAGCCAGGATCGCCAAGTGTCACGATCCTTACATACCTCTTTCACTTCTTTCAGGTTCATTAACTTCTTCATACATGCACGTCTAAGTATCCGAGTACTCTTGACCTTCCCCTCTTCGAGCAATTTGCTCACATGGTCTTCGAAAGTTAGTCTCGGTCTACCTCGACACCTTTTAATATTTACTTTCGCTCTATATATTTTCTTCACCATTCGGTCTTCACTCATTCGCTCAACGTGCCCAAACCATTGGAGTATTATCAATTTTTGTGATAAGGTCATCTTTGAATCCTGCCATATTGCGAATCTCTTCGTTTCGCTTTCGATCGGCTATGGTAACGCCACACGTTTTACGAAGAGATCGCATCTCCACTGCATTCAACTTGCTTTTATGCTTCTTCTGGCATACCCAGGTTTCGCTGCCATATAACGAAGTCGGTACCACCACTGCGTTATGTATTGCAAGGCGTGCACTCTTCACCACGCCTTGCCTTTTGACTAATGCATTCAGGGCACCATTGACTTTGTTTCCGGCAGCGACACGCCTATCCACATCTAAATCACATCTCCCATCCCGGCTGAAAGCACTCCCCAAGTATACAATTTCATTTACCTGTTCTAGACATTCCTGATTTACCCATATTTCACATTTCGTTCTATCTTCGTCCTTTTCAAATACCAGAACCTTAGTTTTATTAGCATTCAAACGGAGACCTTTAATTTCACATTCCTCTTTCATACACGTGACTAATGCCTGCAGTTCTGCTTCTGATGGTGCAATAAGCACTGCATCATCAGCATACAGCAGACAATTTACTTTAATGTCACCCAATTTCACACCCAAACAGCTATTTTGCAGCTTCTGTAAACAGCTGTCGAGATACAGTATGAACAGCCAGGAAGACATGACACAACCCTGTTTTACGCCCGCTTGGACGCTAAACATGGGTGACAGGTCACGCCCTACCCGCACACAGGCTTTACATTCATAGTAAAGTGACTGCACAACCCTTAACAATCGACCATCCACACCATATCCCGGCAACAGTTCCCACATTTTCTTCCTTATAACCTTATCAAATGCTTTCTCCAGATCCACAAAAGCACAGAAAATCCTGTGGTTAACACTCAGAAGCTTTTCCGTGATCATGCGGAGAGAAAACATTTGATCCGTGCATCCTCTTCCAGGTCTAAATCCGCATTGTGCCTCCCATAAGAATCTTTCCGATTTTTCTTGCATCCTACGTGTCAAAACCTTCGAGTAAACTTTACTTGCTGAACTGGTCAAGCTGATCGCCCGATAGCACCCGCAGTCAAAATGTGAACCTTTACCTTTATATAAAGGCACAATGACCGCGGATCGCCAATCATCCGGGACATCTACCGTCCGCCAGCACAAATTGCACAGCAGACGAAAGCTGTCCCAGACGCGAGGCCCACCGTACTTGACCAATTTCAGCAGTAACTCTGTCTAGTCCCGCAGCCTTACCACATTTCAAACTTCGAATCGCACGTTCAATCTCTTTCATGCTGATGACCTCAGTGTCATTGAGGTCCGTGTCTGGCGTGCCAGTCATGGCGTCACCCCCGGATCCTTCACTAAGATCTTGACACGCATACATTTCTCTATAAAATTCACTCCATCGCTGCATGACGCCCGATTTTTCTGAGAGGACGTCATTGGTTCTCGAAAGAACTTTGTTCATTCTTAAGGCTGTCGCACCACTTCGGGACCTTTCAACCTCTTTCCAGAAGAGTTTGGAGTTTTCCTTATAGTTGTGCGACAACCTCTCGTCCGCTTCTATTCTACACCTTTCACGTACTTCCTCAATCAATGTTTTCGCAAGAACTTTCTGCAGCTTATATCTTTCTTTCATCTTCTCTCTCATATGCTTATCGTTACTAGAGGCCAAGTAGTCTAGCCATGCTTTTTTCTTCTTTTTTACAGCTTCTCTCACTTCATCATTCCACCATGCATCTCTTCTTTTACTACTACCTCTTTTTGTCGTTCCACATACTTCTTCCGCTGCACTTACCATTCCATCCCTAAGGTTCTGCCATGTTCTCTCCACACATTCTTTCCTGCCATCGATGGTGTCAAGCTTTTCGGCTACCCTCGTGTGATATTTGTCCCTAGTATCCGCTTCCTGAAGCTTCTAGCTTCGGATGCGACAGACCGACCGAATTCGAAAACGTTTCCTAAAAGCATCAAAACTATTGAAAGTCTGGAATTAGCACGGAGACTGTAACCATAGATGTCCGTAAAGCCTTCCAGGACAGTTGTCCCGTCAAAACCACTACCTCATCACGAAAAATTCCTTGGTGGATATTACTGAGCTAAAGGAGCTTAGGGAAAAGACCAGGAAACTATACAATAGGGCCAAAAGAACTAGAGTGGGTCATTTGTAGTGCAACCCTAACCAAATATAATAAAGAAATAGAAAAGTTAAGAAAGCATTGTGGAGGAAGCTATGCGAGAAGTTGTCTTTGCCCCGCAGTGCAAGACTACATAAAATGCTATCGAAAATTAAACCTAATCAAATCGGGCTTTTTAAAAAGCCTGATGGTAACTTCACTACTAGTGAAACAGAAAAATACAACGTCAACCCATTTCCCAGGGTCACAGAAGACTTTTGGCTCGAACTCTTTCTCCCACGAAAGCCTTGTAATGAGGACTAGTGTAGGACTACAAAGACAATAAGGCCAAACCTGGTGCAGTGGGCTGTTGACTCCTTTAACCTTTTGAGCGCCACGCCAAAAACTCACTACCGTGTCCTGTACGCCAAAGCGAAAAGTAAACAAAAATACCTACGAAAAAAAACAGTGCTGCCAAGAGTTGATATATCGATAACACAAAATAACTTGTTTTTGTTGGTTTTTTATACAATAAATGAGTCTTTATAATCGGGTATGTTTTATTTAATCTTGTGCTCAGTCTTCCACTCTTTTTTATATATGTACTTTGTACATAAATAAAAAACAAACAATAACAATAAAATAGTAGTAAACCACAACACTACTCTCCGTCGTGATGACGTCACTGTCACGACTGGACGACAACGGCGTAGCTGACCTTTCTTTTTAAAACTTTCTTAGAGATGTAGCCGTGTCGCACGTTGTGTATCGATTTCAAAATCGATGTAACCAAAATATACAGATATCTATTCAAAATATTTTATGGCAAGGCGTAGGCCAAGTGAATCACAGAAGAAAAGTCTTACGCTCTTATGATAAAGGGGGTTTCATATGATACTGATGTTGCTAAATAACTTTGAGATTGAGAAAGAAAATCGCACAACACAAAATGAAAATTGCTCTTCATACCTTAAGTAAAGAAAACACATTTATTATTTGTAATTTTATGTTATTAAAATAGAAAAGGTACGTAATTATTCACTAATCAACAACTGTATATAGGTAATTATTCGCACTAGAAAAATCAGTCTTATAATATTAAAATCTTGGTCATGGAATAAAAAAATCAGTACTTATTACAGAAATCAACAAAGGGTACATAATTATTCAACAATTGTAAATAATTATTTGCACTAGGTCTAGTCATAAAATATTAAAATCTTGGTCTTTAACTCAATCAGTACTTAATATAGAAAACAACAATTAAAAATAATTAATAAATTATAGGTAATATTAGTCTTAAAATAATAAAAATCTTATGGAATAATAAAACATAAATGTTTAGCTGGCCAAAGCAAATTTTCTAACGTGGTAGAGCCATGCTGCAGTTATATTACGGGAGTTAGTAGTTGTAGCACGAATGGGTCGGCTCAACCGGGGAAGAACCACGCTCTCACGGAATATCGGCATCAAATAGTAGCTTAATGCTGCTGTATTTCGTATGGTAAGTGTAGAGAACCGGAGACCCTCTTTACTGGAAACGAGGCATTCCATCTAAGTCCTCACGGGTGAGAGCGCATCTGCATTTTGATTCGTAATCGAGGATAGATGTAAATGTCTATGGGCCACAGCAACCACTTACCATCAGGTGGACTGTGTGCTCGTTTATTACCCTATGCTATAAAAAAAGAAATTAACCGTAAAAAGACTATAAAGTGTATTCCTACCTCATTGAGGTAGAGTTAATCGAAAACGAAAAACTTTGGTTTCACGATAATTTTAAATTTCCGAAAATTCATCATCGTCGACGCTTTCCAAAATCCGAATGAGTTCTGAGGAATCGTTCATGTTGCACTGCACTAATTTTCCCGCTAATCGCTTATGACGTCATCAGTGTGTCGTCTATACTTGACCACGGCGCCCAGTGAACTGATTTTCGATGTCGCGCTAAGGATGCGCCAGAGTTGAGATATTAGATTTATTATGCGAAGATAATTTGTTAATTTTTTTTTAATTCATGTAGCTAATTATAGTTTTATATTTCTAACCTTTTGTTTTATTTAAATATCAATAATAATAGAAAAAAATAACACGTTTGAGCTTAATTTTGAATAGTTTTCAATAAATTTATGGCTAACGCATTACAACACTAGCGGTCTAACATAGACGACTTTGGCGTGCTGGACATAGTATTTGCTTAGATAAAAATCCATTTTTTTTAGTTCAATGTTTCTTAGTACTTGTGGCTCTAGAAGACTTGTTTTTTATACTCACATGTTGCTGGGTTATTCTTTTTTTGAGGGGTGTGGAATTAAAATAGCAGTAATAATTTTCCAATGTCTATATTTCATATTTTTGTGGGCCGGGTTTTTTGTCATCTATAGACGTCGTTGGCGCTCAGGGCACGCGGGTGCTGGTCACGTATAGACGACTTTGGCGCTCAAAAAGGTTAAACCATATAAGACAAACAGGGAGGATGGAATAATTCACGTCCACCTACAGAGGGGTTTCGATATCCTTCTTCCTTATCTGGTTAAGATCTTCAGAGCAAGTTTTTCATGGGGATATATTCCAGAACGATAGACAATCGTCAAAGTTCTATTTATACCCAAGACTGGTAGAAACTGGCGCCATCTGGGGTCGTAAGTAATCGAGCGCTAATTCATTTCTATTGTCTTATTATTAATATTTCTGTGGCTTAAACAGTACAATTGACACATTTTTTTTTTCAAAATTTCAAACTTTAATCAGCTTTCCTTTTTTGCCTTTCTCACTGTATATATATATATATATATATACACACACTTATCAGTAAATTGATTTTGTATACCGCCCCCGCAGACAAGCCCTCTATTTTCTAAACGGCCCTACAGATAATAAGAGTTTGACACCTGGTCTAACCAAAGGTGTACACGAATATAAAAAAAACACTTATGTTATATGTATTAATATTTTATTGTATATTTATGTAGTCATCTTAAAAATAACTTAATTACTACTTTAGGTACACATATATTCACGTATTTAGTTCTGAAAACTAATGACAATTTTTTTTTAATTATTGCTAAGTATAACTATGGAAAAAAATTAGCATTTTTGAAATATTGAAAATTACAAATAAGTCAGGCTAAAAATGTATATATTAAATAATGCAATCTAAAAACCACAAACACGCCACATTTTCACTATTTTACAGTTTCTTAAAGTTCCTTAGATATTAGTTTCGCTGAATAATGCCTGCCTGTTCAGTATCTGAAATCATTTTTATTAAATTAGATCAGAACAATTGTTTTTTCTTCTTCATCAGTTTTCAAAAGTAACTTAAAGAAACATGGCCTCTGCCGGTAAGGAGGATGGATTTTCGCCATGCATGGCAGGCGAATAGACAATTACTCAGTACCATTCCTGCACCTTAAAAACTGCTCCCGTCTTTGGGCTGTGTTTTATGTCTGATATGAATAAGATAATTATAACAATTATAATTATCATTAGCACTGTGCAATTTCTTTTGCCTGAATGAAGTTTATTTACAAATTATTACAAAAAAATGTTTTTTATGGCAAAATATTATTCATATATTTTTATTTCATTATCTATATTCCCCATCAGAATTGAATAGAATTGTTTTTATTCAGTATAGATTATTACGTAGCACTTATTGAAAATATTCTTTTAATTTACCACTGGTTCAGAAAATGTTTTTCCGCTACAGCAATTTTCAAGAACTAGCATTTATGACAGTATTGCTTTGTGCAGTCAATTTATTTAAGCTAGTGGCAATGGAAGACAATGAAAAAGATACTATATCAGTTCTTTTCTTTAAATTAAAAAGTAGAAAAAATATAAAATTACCTGCTCTTGCTGTCAGAACGGCTGCGTCGTTCACGCGATCTCGACCTCCGCACTGAAGGAGATCGACGGCGAACTGATGGTGAACGTCTAGGTGACCCTGACCGACCACGAGAATATGAGCGCCGTCGGGGACTACGGCTTCGGGACCTGTTTTTTAAATTTAACTCAATTTACTGCATAAATGGAAAATTATTTTCACAGATTTTAATATTTTTAACATATCATTAAGAAACTAACAATGATAAATTAAAAATAATATTTATCTATTTTGTTTATACAACTCCCTATAATAATTTAATCAATTTATTTTTATCTTTCATTTAATTTTAATTATCTTGTCTAATAAAACTATTTTATTTTGCTATTTGTGAATTAAGTATCTAATTATTTTTAGAGACAGAACAACTCCAAAACATGTACCGAAACACCAACATATCTTACTTTTAGCTAAATACAGGTATAGTTAGTTATAATAGGTAAGGCAGTGCTAAAGTATAGGATTAAAAAGTACCGAGACTTGGTGAGCCTGCGAGGTCGCCGAACGTTGTGTGGCTGCTGTGAGGCCGAAGGGATTTTGTATACCGAGGCGGAGACAAGTTTCAACGTAATCTTCCATTGAATGGTGACCATAACCGGAAGTTGTGAGAAGAAATTGTTGAGACGGAGAGAGTTGATCGCCGTATAGGTAGTATTTCTAGCCGGTGCCTCGGTGACGGTGTGTGCAGCGGTGAAGCATCAGGAGTTGCATTTACATTCAGGATGGTTGTAGGTTCCTATGCTATGTGGCTCATCAGTATCATGGTTATTTGTCCAGATTTAGAAAGGTATAGGATCAGGTGATGGCGGTCAAGAGGATAGACATAGGGATACAGTTGTTGAAGACTTCAGCTGCGCGTTGAAGTTTGGTGAGCCAGTCGCAGAAGTTGAGCGGGATGTTGTTGCGAGCGGCGTTCGCGGATGTCATATTTGTAAACAAGCCGTAGTTGTGGTGAAGAGATGTGGTGAGGTCGTTGGTGTGTTGGTGGTTGGTTGATAAAATGGACCTGTAAACGTTCCAACACCCACCACATTTAATATTTTCTTATAAGCATTAAATCAACTTATTATTAATGTTGAGCAAACTATACTTAAGATTTTAATACCAGTTTTAATCATAACTTTCATTAGTGTATAAAAAATTAAAGAAAAACAAATAGGTCATATATTTAAGAAATATCTTCTTAAATCTATGATGCTGTGATATCTTTATTAAGACCATAATACTATATTGTAAATTTGATAAAGTAATTAGATTATAATTATAAAGTATATAATGTGGACCTTGAATTTCCTTGTTATAATACCTGGATTTTAAAGATGACAAAAGAATTTATAATCTTTAAAAATTGTAGATCACAAAAGAACTTAACAATAAACATTACCAAGATTTGCGATTGTAAATAACTAATCAAGCTATCTAAACAGCAAGGTAAGTGGGGTTGACTTTCTACTATTTTAAACAAAAATAGCAAACTAAAAATTTAATTTAAAATATTTAATGAAGTCACATGACCTATAATAGATTTATTTTATTAATATAGTTTTCTATTAAAACTTAAACAACATAATAAAATGTCAACTTCTAACCCCACATTAATTTGCTTTACCTGGTTAGAATAAATAATACTGAGTTCATACACAAATGAAATCATTAAAATGTAGAGCATAGTAAACAACAATAAAAGATCTTACCTAGAATATCTGCGTTCTCTTCTTGTGCGACCATTTGACATTTCAACACGGATACGTGTTCCACAGCAGCGTCTAAACACAAAAACAGGTTTAAAATTCTAGCAGACATACTTTTCCATGGACATAAAAAATGTTACATCAATATGTTCATGTTCCCCATTCTAAGACAAGTGCATTGTTATTTAAAAATACAAACACATTTCAGTCTCAGTATGGAGGTACCATGCTCTAGCACACTTATGACTCAAGCGTTTCACATAGAGAATGAAACGGATCTAAGGAGCGTGCCTACTTTCTAATGTTTCAAAATAAATTGAATTGTGTATGTAAAAAAGTCAATAAATCATTAGCACTAAATTGTAATAGCAATGTGGTCAAGTGATATCAAGATGGCGGACAGACTTTCATTTCTAGAAGAAACTATGATATTTGTTCCTTCCTACATAAAAGGCATAAAGAATTTATTATGTAGTAATCACTTACGTTCCGTCTAAACCGCGAACTGAGTCTTCAGCATCACGAGGATCTTCATATTCAACGAAGGCAAATCCTGGTGGATTCCGAGCCACCCACACATTCCGTATGTTTCCATATTTAGAAAATACTTTTTCAATTTCGTATTTAGAGGCATTTGTGCCGAGATTTCCCACATATACTTTGCAAGACAAATCCCACTCCCTATAGCGTGACATCTGTAATTTAAAATCACTTTAGCAACTTTTAATGATTCGCCGCCATGTTAGTTAAAAGGAAATGGATCAATATCACCTAGCGTGTAGGTACGTTAGAAAAAGACAAGGTTGATAAACACAAGATAAAATTACCTTTCCTACTACTTTCAATTGTATTATATATTACTTCTAAACTTCAAATTTATATTATAACTTCATTCAGCAAGAACCAGTCACCACGTAATACTACGCCAAGCCAAGTTGCGCCAGTACCCGATTTAATTGATTTAACGTAGGGATGTTCAATGATCATCGATGTTCGATGATCATCGATATTAGAAATTAAAACATCGATGTTTTAACATCGATGTTGCCGCATGCTAAACATCGTAACATCGATGATACCACATCTCAAACATCGAAACATCGATGTCAATGAGCCAATAATTGATTAATAAGATCTTGTGAACAATGCGAACCCGCGAAATCAATATCAACTAAATATTTCATCTCCTATTAAAGGTTTAAAATTTTGAATAATTTAGGATTCTTAAAGGCATCAATCACCTGAAAAATATCATTATGTTGTGTCGAACTCCCTCTCAAGTGTGAACCGTAATGTCACTGCTTTCGCTTTGTTATTCTGTGGTATCATTGTCACCTAATAACTATTCTACATAAATTGATATAAAAATAATGTTTTTTCTCTTGCTGTGTATACACACATAATTTTGAAACAGTATGAATATACACAATCCAATTATATTTAGCTGTTTTTTGAGCTAATGAGTTTATTTTTCGCTTGTACTTTATGAAAATAAATCACTGGGCGATTATGAGCATAGAAAATTTCACTGCATAGTGCATTTTACAGTGCATTTTATAAACGGCTGTGGATACTTATTGTTTGGGCTGTCTGAGAAAAAATAGTGAACAAAGGTGACGGAAAAGTCTAATATTTTGTTTTTGTGACGTTTGCAAATTCGCCCTCTATAATCAGATTTTTTTTATTTCGTGATAGGAGTGGTAAATATAGAACATACGTCTAAATCATTAATTAGGTCTCATAGTAAATTTTTTCGTAGATTTTTGGTTGTATAGGAACATTTGAAGATCAAAATAATAACATTAATCATTATCGGCAAAAAATATAACAAATGAACTAAACATTTGTTAAGTTTTGCCCATTTTTTAAATTACTATTTAGAACTAAATGTTTTATAAATTTCTTTCATTTCATTAATAATAAACTATAAACTACACTATAATTTTTTGTTTATCTAATTTTAACCTACTAATTAGGTAGGTAGTAGGTACATGTGCAATAACATCGATAATGGCCAACATCGATGTTTTAAGTACGATAAACATCGAACATCGATGTTAAGCTATCGATATCGACATCGATGTCATCATCGATGTTTCTGCAACATCGAGCATCCCTAATTTAACGTCGTCGACTCAAATAGTGTTCTGTGCGTCGACTCGTCGAATGTAGGGATCCGCAAAAAGTATCGATACCTGAGTAGTATCGATACTTTTAATTCTATACGTAGTATTTTTTACTCGATACTTTTATTGGAGTATTTTACTATGTATCGATAATTTTTTCTTCATTTACTCGATACTTTTGTCTGTTTACTAAACGGTCAGATAAAAGTCAGTAGATGGTACTTCCTTGTCCAATGTATAGCGTCGACCCTCTCGATGGCGTGAGCATTTGGGGGAAAACCCTATTATAGTTAGAATAATGCATGACCAGGTAAATACATTTTATACATTTACTAGCAATATCTCGTAATTTTGATGAATGAATATTATATATAATGGAATCATAACGCAAAATATTTGGATTTAAATGTATTTAATTTGTTTATTTATGTTATTTACGTAAAGTCTTCCTATTAGTCATAAATACATAATTAGCTTAGAAGACTATTTTTTGAATACTAATGAATTCATGATGGTTTTTATGAGAATTGATCAGTTATATAATTTATCAGGTAATTCGAATCAGAAGATGAAAAGATTTTATGGGGTTGATCGAAATACAGATTTTTCATTAGCGTACAGTTTAAAACAGCAATTGTGGATAAAGTTAATAGTTGCAGTTCGTAGTAATATATATTAAATAGAAAATAACGCAGCTTAAAGAATCTAGAAGAACGTATTAGCATTTTCTGGTTAGTCTTTTAATGTTCTATTCTATTAAAAAATTTCAGGCAATTCTTAGAAGAATACGATCAGATTGAATGAGCTTGATTAAAATACATTTTTATATCCATCTACTTTTTAAAAACCTACTTTTCATGTCAGATTGCGATGTACAAGATTGGGGGTTCGGCAATTATTTATTAGTTTCTATAATTTCTAATTTAATTTTGAATAAATAAGAAATTTAATTATTATTGTGTATTTTCTTGTGATTTTTAATATTTTAGAAATATTACTCGATACAAAGTAGTATCGATACTTTTGAGTCGATACATTTATTGTAATGATATTTTTTGTTCGATACTTGGTATCGAGTAGGTATCGATACTTTTAAAACTTGCGGAACCCTATCGAATGACGGTGTGACGGCTGTGACAAGGTATATATTTTTTTTATAAACGGGTAATTGGGTGTGTGGAGTATGGAGTGTAGAGATAAGGAGAACAAACTGTATAAAAAAGTGTCCGTAGAAAAGCGCTAAATAAGGGTGGCGCCACTGTAGCTACAGTGTAAATTTTAAAGAACTTTTTGTATTTTTTATTGCATAGACTTTCACAATAATTGTTTTCATAATAATTATTTTATTGTTTTCAAAATTTTTAGTTTCGAAATCACTCTCAATGTGTTTTACAGTACGTTTGCACTGAGAAACATCCAACACGTAATGTTTTGAAACAAAAAGCATGAAATAAATCACACATGTTTTGTTGATGGTGGCGTTCGCACTCACAAAAACTGTGTAAAAATTTTCAACGGATATCAAGATTTGTTTTTAACTGTGTTCGCATTGAATACAACATAAACATTCTATTTGTTTATCTATAGATTTGTCAACGTTAGGGTTCGCACTGTTGTTTTTTTATATTTCGCGATTTGTATTAAATCGTGTTTTTCTGTTATCCTATTTAGTTGCAAAACATCACAAAACATTATTAACCCTAGCGGAGACGAATGATAACTTTATACAAAATATATATGTGGTATCATCATCATCATCTAAAGCCCTTCACAAGACCACTGCTGAACATAGGCCTCCCCCAAGGTATGCCACAAAGCACGGTCCTGACTCAGGACTCCTGAGCCACCTGCATCCATCGACTACCTGCATGTCTTACCAGGTCGTCACTCCTATCTATCTATTGGGGGGTCGCCCTACACTTTGCCTACAGGTACGAGTCTGCCACTCGAGAACCTTTTTTTCCCAACGGTTGACGGTTCTACGAGCTACATGGTCGGCCCATTGCCACTTCAGCTTACTAATCCGTTGGGCTATGTCGGTCACTCTGGTTCTACTGAGGATATTCTCATTTCTAAGTTTATCACGCAGAGAAACTCCCAGCATAGCCCTCTCCATAGCTCGCTGAGCGACTTTGAGCGTCCATACGGCCAGCAGTAAAGGACCACGTCTCGGTTCCGTAGGTCATCACTGGCAACACGCACTGGTTGTACAACTTAGTTTTCAGGTTTTGACGTATACCTCACGAGAAGATGTGTCGTAATTTCCCGAACGCTGCCCAGCCGAGTTGAATTCGTTGATTGACCTCTCGGTCGAATTTGGACTTACCTAGTCGGACTATTTGTCCCAGGTAAACGTACTCGTCAACAACTTCGAGCTTAGTGCTCCCAACAACTACCGGCATAGGTGTGACACGGACATTAAACATGATATTTGTTTTGTCCACGTTCATCTTAAGACCTGTCCACTGAGAGGCACTATTGAGTGAAACTATTAAATGTGGTATATATCTCCAAAAATTCCATCTTTATCATTAATCAGATTATCTGCAATTCTCTCGTGTGGCGGAAAAATTAAGTCCTTTTTTTGGGGTATTTTTTGGGTTGCCTGTCCCAGAGCTCGATATAAAAGAACATAATAAAATACAATACAAATTTCTACTTATTTATTCAATTAAAATACATAACTTAAATAAGAAACGTAGAAAACTGTTTATCAAATAATTTAGTTTGTCACTGCCATCTTCATAATGTGTTTTAAGTGACAAGAAATTTTTCTTTCACATGGTCTACTAATTACATATATGAGAAAGAAATATGAAAGCATGTACCACCTTTCTCTCAAAATTTTACAAAGCTTACCATAGTTTAGGTTCCAATAATCTGTGTTTCCTTGGAGATATACAGGGTTATTTTGTGATAACCGGTGAAATTTGCAGAGAAGGTTCAAGATAACTAATATAGGCCGTTAAAGACAAATCAATTTTAAAAAATCTCAAACTTTGTATCCTTTTTATCTCTTAAATTCAAAATGCGCAGTAATGCATTGTAAGTGATTTTACTGCACACGCAAACATTCGTAAGAGTAATAATAAGCTTGTCGCTATCCCAGTGAGTCACTTAGGCATGTCAAAGTACTTACACAGGCACAACCTAGTAGCCAGAATTCTACACCAGGAGCTCGCTCTGAAATACGGTCTCGTGGATCGGAAACTGTCTTATTATAAGTACTTACCGGAAGTCGTGCTCGAAAATGACCGCGCCAGGCTCTACTGGGATCGGGCCATCATTATAGACAGGACTATTCTTGCGAATAAACCTGATATTGTGCTGATGGACCGGGCACAGTCAAGGATATTTTTGGTCGACATTACCATTCCATATGACGAGAACCTAGTGAAATGCTCACGAGGTGACCGACATGTGGGGTGGTCTGCCGACCGAAATTATTCCCATAGTCGTCTCTGCGAATGGACCTCCGTGACGGACCGCTCCGGGCTCAAATGCAGAAGGTGGTGCTCCTCGATACCGCCCGCCGGTTTCTTTCCCTTTCCCCCTAGCCCTCGGCCGTTTGGTTTTTATTTATTTATGTATTGTTGTATTTATTTTATTTTACTGATATTTATGTATATTTATCTTTTCATTTTCATTTATATATATATATATATATATATATATATATATATATATATATATATATATATATATATATATATATATAG